GTTGAAAGCCCAGATCGTAATCGTGATTAAAATTCGATTAATTGAGCAGCCCTACCTAGATGTACCATTTTTTCTTTGAAAATTTGCCAGCTTTTCCTGATAATTTTCCTCATCTCTTGCCATAAAAGTGGCAGGTGTTTTCTTCTTTATTTGTACTGTTTTTTCTCATTAATCTGCCAGGTTTTTATTTTTCTGAGCCCTGGGGTTTCCTCTTCTTACCTTCAGTGGTCCTGACACACTGTAGTACTTCAGAGAAACCTGATACCAAGCTCAGTGATATTTGTGCAGCATGTGCACAAATGTCACCTGAGTTTACACCTGCAACAGCGTCTCTGCTCATTTACCCGACCTCCAGCTCTCCCTGCACCCCGCTTACAGTGTCACCTGTACGCTTGAGGTCACTCTTCCAGGTAAGGTACTCCTGCTCTCAGGTGGTGCCTTGTGGACAACTAGCACTGGATTAGCCGCGCATAGCACGTTACGTGATGTTACCTATCATGCTAATGCATTAATACGTGAGCACCTGCGGTGGCTTAAGTTAGAGAGCTAAGGACTGTCACCTGACGCCGTCTGAAAGATGCATGACAGCGGCGTCTTTGCGCGGAGCTTCGGGTTTCGCTGCTACATCGGGCTAAGGATTAGCTGAGCAGCTAACGTTTGCTGGCCAATTACTTGACATTAGTAAGAGGGTGAGTGTGGGCACAGGTGTGTTAAAAACACGGAAATAAAGCACATGACAAGAAGAGAACTACTAAAAAACCAAAAACCCAAACACATCCGTCTTTCTCATTCAGTAAACATCAGGGAATCGCTTGCAGAGGGAAACCCTGCTTCCATTATCGGCCACTGCTCTAAGCCTGGCCAGGGCTGGCTAATTTCATTCATTACATAAAACAGATGAATGCACGGATTTATTAAACTGCGGATTCGCTTTAAAACTCAGAAAACTGAGTGAGTGACGGAGTGATGCTGAGGGAGAAGAGAAACGCTGTCCGATAATGGGCGCATCGATGCTTTTTGTATATAGCACTTAAGCTAGCGGTGCTGAGCAAGTTCGCTTAACTCAGCGACTCACGGATTAAAATAAAAACCGTAACGAGGCCTTAAAGGTGTACTCACCGGACCCCCGCGTGCATAGCAGCCCAGTCGGTCAGTCTGCCTCACGGTAACGTGCCGAAACAGCCCGAAAAACAGACAAACAAACAGAGAGACACTCACCGGAGCGGCTGTTGACGCAGAGCGGAGCTCCAACTGACGGAAGGTACGTTCACGGTCCGCTGGGAAACCACAGAGCCACCAAGCAGTTCGTCACAGAGCAGTCCGTGCAGAGAGCAGGAATTCATTACTCGGCATTAGGCCCATGAACAAATAAAATGACATTACATTTAATTTAATTGTAAAAAAAAAAAAGAAAAGAGAGAGAGAGCTCGTGAAAGAGGAAACAAATAAAGACTAAGAAAAATGCATTCAAATTAATATGTAGCTCAAAAAGTCTGGACTTGTGAACTAAAAGTTGTAAAATAAAATAATTATAATAATAATTAAATAAATAAAATATTGTGCTTGGACAGAGAAATAATATTCTGAGATAATAAAAATTCAGATTTATGCAACTAAAGGCACAATATATGAAATGTATCATAAAATAAAAATATAGCTCAGTGAGGGGAATAATGCTTTACGATAGTTAAATTGTTGTTCAATTTACGATGTTAAAGTTGTGAAAACATAAAATGAATAATCAAATAAAATAAACACACAGTAATTATTATTTTTAATTAATTTAAAAATGTAGTAGGAGCGAGATAATATTCAGAGACAAATCCAAGTTTATTAAGTTTAAGTTGTAATAAACAAAATTGAACGTACTACTACTACTACTACTACTACTACTACTAATAATAATAATAATAATAATAATAATAATAATAATTTGTAGCTGGGAATGGGGATAGCATTTCCTGAAGGTCCCTGAGTATGAGATTAAATTTGTAAAATGAACAAATAGGTGGTATATTCCTTGAGATTAAGGTCTCCAGTGGTTTTAATCTTTAAATGTTCAATTCATTCCAGTCTGAGAGGCTGTATGTGAGGATGAAGATAAACAGTGAAGTGAACATGTGAACAGTGATAAACAGTGAAGAAGAATTAAAAGCCACCAGGGGGCAAACAAGCCCCATTTTTCCAAGTTTAAAGACACGCTATGTTTTGTTGTGCGTGCGCACTTCCAGCACACGGAGACGCGAAGAATGCTTCCGCGGGTCTCTGGAGCTGTTCTCTATTAGATCCTGTTTCCTCGAGACTGCACATGTTCGCCCTCTTCTCAAACATACTGGTCCAGCTTTGTGGAAAATAACTGGTGGCACAAAGTCTGGCTTTTACCACAAAAACTCTTTATGACCAATAAAGGACGTTTCTTTTAAAATGCTTCATAGGTTCTATCCAACTAACCACTACCATCAGAGACTTGAAGGTGATATCAATTTAAATTGTTCTTTTTGTGGAACCGATAGGAAACAGTGGTTCATAAATTCAAGTTCTCCGTTTACTTTTGTATATAATGCAAAATATTTACTCAATAATGGACAATAAGAATTAAAAGGCCTCGATCACCTTTTTAAACATTATACTTGTATAATTGAGTGTGTTAGAACGATTTTAAAGCTCTGGCATTTTGTGTTTGAGTTTATTTTTTTTCCGTTTATTTTCTTAGTGCTCCTTTTTGTGTTGTTGTCAGCCAGTCTATATAAAGTTTGGGGGGGGGGGGGGAATCAGGGTACTCAAAACCTGAGTAATCTGCAAGTTACAGTTACTCAGTGAGCAGCACAGCGAGTCCCGTCGGTGACGTCATATTACGTTTTATGACTGTGGAGCTAAATTTAAGTATTTTACACACAATTTGGATTCTTTAGTGTAAAACGGCGACACATTCTCCGGAGGAGTCAGTTAATATGTCACTCTGTAACTGTGTAATGTGGAGATATGATATAGATATATAAAGATGCAGATTCAGGGAGCTGGCTGATCTATATTTGATGTAAACTGTTTCTATTGTTCTTCTATTGTCCCAAAAGAATAACAGGAATGTGATGCGTTCAGTTACATGTCAAAACGAAACGAAACAAAGCTCACATGTCCTACTGCTTCTGAACCCATCCCTATGATACTCTGAGGTGTGTATGTGTGTGTGTGTAATATATTTCCACTGTGTCACACACCTGAATAAACCACACACACACCCTTCTGGGGGTGGAGTTTACCCCGTGTTTTTAAGTAATGCGTAACGAGCCGAATGGTGTCATTACGCACACGGAGCTCGGACTATCGTTTCCAGCCAGATTAGAGGCTGATGTTGCTGCCTTCTCTGTGAAGGAGGAAAGTCATCTGTCCAGTTTCTGGTTTGAACTTCAGAATGATTAGTGCGAGGATTTTATGGGTAAGTTTCACTTTCCTGCATTTCACCGCATTTAGTTTTTGTTTTTGTTTTTTTTTGGGGGGGGGGGGGGGGTTGTTTTTTGTCCAGGTGTAAAATGGAAAAGAACGTTTTCTAAGGCAAATTTATTTTTTAGTGATGGTCTGATAGATGTTTAAGGTTAAAATGCAACACACTGAAAACACTTCAGAATATATGGACAGACTTTCCTATAAGAATGAGAGACACATGTAAAGCCTGATTTATCAGTTTGTGACGATCTCGTGAAAACTGAAAGGATTCACTGTTAATAATCATTTCCATGAGCAGGGATGTGTGCATAAAAGTATGTATTATTTGTTATCCTTTAAAGGAAAAGTTAAGTTCACGAGTAATCAAAAATGTGCTGTATTTCAAATGTTGAAAGTAAAGATCATTTACAGCATGTCAGTGTAAAAAAACATTAAAAAAATAGTCGTTTACATCAATTTATCAATAATCATGGAGAAATGTAAATAAACCAAAGAAAACCTAAAGATGCTTAAAAAGAATGGACTCAGGAGAAATATTAATATTGATAACAGAGGAATGAGTGCGCGTAACTGCCTGGGCTTGGTTTCATTCATAACTGTGCAGTAACACTCCTCTGTGTTTCATCATTGACTCACCATTTAACACCTACAAGTCCTGAGCCAGAGCAACCCAGCTGCTCCCTAACTGTGACCGTGAAATTATTCTAGATTAGAAGGATACATATTTTATCTAATCAAAAAAGAAGAAGAAGAAGAAAGTAGAAGTCTTTATAAAATAACAATAATAGCTTAACAGTGGTGGAAAGAGAACAGTCTGGGTTCAAGTAGTCAAGACTTAAACAGAAGTACCATTGCAGTGTTTTTAATTTTTTATCTAAGGTTTTTGGCAGTTAACCCAACAATGATATTCAGAATGAGCCTGTGCCTCACGATTGAACACTTTCAATCTGAGTTATGTTGATTTGGGGGTTTTCTTTACACAACTTGGAGATAAATTGGTTCATAATTGATCTCCACACCTGCAGATCCGGTTTAGCTGTGTGACAGGTAACAAAGTGTTGTGCTTGTACTAAACCTAATGCCCTGCTGAGCTGTGACTGAGGACCCATGTGAACCCGGGCTGGTTTCAGACCCAGATTCATTCACTGTGACCGCCTCATCTATACTTAGATTTTTCTTGGCCCTCCGGCCACTTCCTCATTTCTGTCTTTTCAAACTCATCAAGCAGCATTTCTCTTTGTTCTTGTCATGAGCGCGGCATCAAGCAGGAATGTGTCGGCCGAGAAGCTCGTTGGTTTCGGCTCTGCGATCCTGTTCTGCAGCTTCCTGCTCTCGGTTAACTGGTCCATCAGGTGCTGTGGACTAAATTTACCCTTGTGCTCCGTTACGTTCCTGAGGGAAACACTGTACATTTATCCGACAGGTTTTTAATGCTGTTGAAGATTAATCCAGCTCTTTATGACCTTACAACAAGAAAACTGCTGCTTTCTGCAACTGCTGCCAACTATTTAAAAAATCTGTAACCTGTAAACTGAGGGCTTTACAAATAAATTTACAAATGCAAGCATACTTTATTCATCTTAATATAGTTTTGTCTCGCAGTCTTTAAATCTTACATTTTATTGCTTCTTTATTGGGCCAAATGTAAATCTGCTACAAACTTGATGTAGAAATCTTGCATGTAATAACAAAACCAGGTGGCTGAAAGATATTTTTATTGATTATACAGCAGCAGTAGCACCTAAGAAGTTGCGAGTAATTTTAAAACCTCCCTTCTTGGTTTGAGGCCAAAATATGTAAACATGTCCAATATTTCACAAAAAATCCAAACATTTACCCCCCCACCCCCACCCACCCAAAAAAAAAGCACAACCCTTGATATGTATCTATGTCAAGCCAACTGCACTATCAATACTCTTTCATTCTAGAGCAGCTGTTTTAGCTCCTCCCCTTTAAGCCAACTTCATTCTGATTGGCTGCAGCTCATACTCCTGATATCACATGGAGCCAGGAGCAAAAAAAACAGCTTGACACTGAGCCTTCAGTGAAGTCTAAAGCCTGAGCTGACATGCTCTCCTCTGTGTCTGCAGACTCTCGTTCAGATGCAGATTAGATGATTCTACAGAGCAGAACCAGACATGGACTTCCGTCTGCAGGAAAAATCTCACCTCTACTACAAGGTCAATGGGAGCTCCAGACCAGGCGTGAGTACTCAAAAACCACTCTGGTTTACTCACAGCTGAGTTTTTTGTTGCTTCTCTGTAATTTAGCACACATTCTTTTGAGCAAACCGACACAGGAAACAGGCTAAAACTAAACAGATTTGGGTTTTTTTTTTTTGGTTTTTTAATTAAAGCAATTGTAATGACTTTGTTACCACAAGAGAAGTCAGGGAAGGGGGGAAAGTCCCATTAGAGTTTTTAATCTGTCAAAACCTGGTGACATGAAACAACAGTTTTAGTCCCCTGTGCCAGCCTTCAGCATAAGGGTAACCTGCTCAACCAGAAGAGGTCTTACTGTCTGGGTTTTTTTTTTTTTTTAGTATTTTGCCCCTGAACAACTAACAGAGGAACAAAAGGAGCATGGCTTTGCAGCCAAGTTGAATTGAAATAAAACTGGAGGTCACTCTGATCTTGGCTGTTATCTCTGCACAGGGACAGATGTAGATGTCTAACGTTCTCTTAGGGAATCAGCAATATCAGTCTTCCTGTTGGTAAAACAGTCATTTTGGAGCTATTTTTCAACTACAAAAGACCACCAGCCTTTAGAAAAAGCTGCTAATTGGCTCCTGCACGAGTATTCCCCTGTGTGGTCAATAGCGGGTCACATCATGGCAGAGAAAAGAGCAGTCCTGTTCTTTTTGTCCTATTAACCACAGCAAACAGAGTCTGCGTATCA